GGGCGCGCGGGCCGGGCGGGGGCCGGGCCGGGGCGGCGTTTGGGGTAGAGGGACAGGAGTTGTGTGCGGGGCTGAGTGAGGAGGGGCAGGGCTCGGACTGCGGGCTGGGGACCGACCTTGGCGGGAAGGGGAGGTCCCGGTGCTGCCTCGGCGGAGGGCTCTCTGTTTGCGTGGGGTACCGGGGCCACGGGTGGGTGCGCTGGAATGGGTCCAGGATCGAAAAAGGACGATTGGAGGGCTCTAGGTTGCTGGGGTGGGGAGGTGGCCCGAGAAAGGAGGTAATGAATGCAGGGAGGGAAATCGATTTCTGCCTGGAAAGAACTAAAGCAGAGAAGGGGTTTGAGGTATCTTTAGAACTAAGGGAGCGGTCCAGGTGTGGAAAATGGGGTTATATTAATACGGAAGGCCGATAAACCCACGGAATTGGGGGTTGAAATACCCTCGGAAAGTACTGACTGCTGTCTTTCTGTTCTTATAAGTAACCATAGGTTGAACTGGGGAGGGATTATTTTGTTTTAGGTACAGGTAAGTAGGCCAAAGTGAAGTAGTCTTGGGTGTAACTGGAGAGAGAGAAAGGTGGTAGGTAGTCTGGGACTGTCGGAGTTGAGAATGAGATGTGACATACTGGTAACTTTGAGGTTCTGGGTTTCCCCATAGTCGTAGGCTAGTGAGAAGGATTATGAAGAAGACGGGGCTCTTTTTGCTGTCTTTGGGTACTGATGGAGTTTTTGTATGAGAGATATTGGGAGCCCTGAAGAGGATAGAAACAGCAAGAGGGAAAGGTTAAGCCACTGTGAAGGATAGGTTGGATGTCCCTGGACAAGATTAGTGTGTGGGAATCTTCTTTGCAAAAAGGACAAATTTATATGAAATGGGGATCTAAAAGTTCCTGGAGTGGGTTAGGATAGATTTGGAACTTTTCTCAAAAGAAGAAAGGTTTAGATTGATACTGTTATGAGCTTATGTGACGTTGTAACGTTGGCCTGGACCTTAATGCAAAAAAGGGTAGTTTTGTTATCCCCCCCCCCAAAAAAAGCCCATAATAGGCATCTCTAGATGAGTTGTGGTGGCTTTAGGAAAAAGAGGGAGTCATGCCCCTGAGAAAAGGGGATCTGGGTGCTCAGAGGGGATAGCCCAGTACCCTTGGTCTTGATGGAGAGAGAAGGGCATGAGGAGGGTGAGAACAGTTTCCATGTAAAGGACAGTTTCTCTGTATAGTGTGACTGACTGTCCTGTAACTTGCTCTGTGGGCTAGGCTGACCTCAAACTCAAGGAATTCAGAGATCCACCTGCTTCTGCCTCCTGAGTTCTGAGATTAAAGGTGCCACCACCCAGCTGAGAAGGTCTTGATGTGCTTAGCTTGAACCAGTTTTAAGAGTGAGTACCAGGAAATGGTTAAGGAAGGAAGTCTGGAGATGGATTGAACCAGGGAGAGAAAATTGGAGATTGGGTGACTTGATGTGAGGAATCTGGACATTGTTGGTTAGCAGAGGTTGTGTGGCAAGGGGAGGCTCAGACCACCAGAGCCTAAGATAGAGTAGGGATGTTGGTTTGTACACCAGTTTGAATGGTCTGAGTGTAAAAAGTTTGAGCCTTTGAGGAAGAGCAGAATCCATGTAGGAGGGCAGCTGGGAAACGAGCCAGGAGAGTGAGGATTCTGTAGGTAGGCTGGCAAAAGAGTGCTGTCCCGGGCAATGGTGAGGAGTCGCAGGAAGGTCTGTATCCCAGGGAGAGCAGCTCCTGTGTTGTGGACAGGGCCTTGGGAACCTGTTCTGAGGCGTGGGAATGCCGAGGATTAACTGGGATCTGGTGGGTGGAGTTTGCTGCAAGTTCATTGAGAAGAGAGACTTCGGGGTGGAGTCTCTAGGAAAAGACCACTGGAGAAATTTGTGTTGGCTGTTTGCTATGTTCAGGGAAGGAAGGATTCTTAGGGAGGGTGTTATAGTGGAAAATTCAGAAGTTGGAGGAGGAAGTATGTCTGAGAGTTTAGAATGTAGAGGTGACACAGGGAAAGAACTGCCCTGGAGGATTAACTTGTCTCCGCCCTCCCTTCCCTCAGCCCAGGGCCTTGCTGCTGTCATGACTGAGGAGAGCGAGGAGACATTCCTGTATATCGAGCACCGCTATGTCTGCTCTGAGTGCAACCAGCTCTATGGCTCCCTGGAGGAGGTGCTTGTGCACCAGAACTCCCACGTGCCCCAGCAGCACTTTGAGCTGGTGGACGTGGCTGACCCTGGAGTCACGGTGGCCACAGAGGCAGCTTCAGGCACAGGCCTATATCAGACCCTCATACAGGAGAGCCAGTACCAGTGTCTTGAGTGTGGACAACTGCTCCTGTCACCTAGCCAGCTCCTGGAGCACCAGGAGCTACACCTGAAAATGATGGCACCCCAGGAGGCAGTGCCCGCTGAGCCACCCCCCAAGGTGCCCCCCTTGAGTTCCAGCACCATCCACTACGAGTGTGTGGATTGTAAGGCTCTGTTTGCCAGCCAGGAGCTGTGGCTGAACCATCGGCAGATGCACCTCAGGGCCACCCCCACCAAGGCTCCTGCCCCTGTTGTCTTGGGGTCTCCAGTTGTCTTGGGCTCCCCTGTGGGCCAGACCCGAGTAGCTGTGGAACATTCATACCGAAAGGCCGAAGAAGGTGGGGAAGGGGCAGCTGTCCCGGCTGCAGCTGCCGCCACGACTGAGATGGTGACAGAAGTGGAACTGCTCCTCTACAAGTGCTCTGAGTGCTCCCAGCTCTTCCAGCTGCCTGCTGACTTTCTGGAGCACCAGGCCACCCACTTCCCTACTGTCCCAGAGGTCGAGGAGCCTGCCACAAAGCAGGAAACTCTGATCCCCTCGCCCACCGAGGTGCCAGTGTCTCTACCCGACCCCTTGCCAACCTCTGACCATAGCTACGAGCTGCGCAATGGGGAGACCACTGGACGGGATCGGCGGGGACGGAAGCCCCGGAGGAACAACAGTGGAGAGTCAGGTACGGCAGCCACCCAGGAACTCTTCTGCTCAGCCTGTGACCAGCTCTTCCTTTCACCCCACCAGCTGCAGCAGCACTTTCGGAGCCACCGGGAGGGTGTCTTTAAGTGTCCCCTGTGCAGTCGTGTCTTCCCTAGCCCTTCTAGTCTGGATCAGCACCTTGGCGACCATAGCAGCGAATCTCATTTCCTATGTGTAGACTGTGGCCTGGCCTTTGGCACAGAAGCCCTTCTCTTGGCCCACCGGCGAGCCCATACTCCAAATCCTCTTCATTCGTGTCCCTGTGGAAAGACCTTTGTCAACCTTACCAAGTTCCTTTATCACCGGCGTACCCATGGGGCAGGAGGTGTCCCTTTGCCCACAGCACCAGTTCTGCCAGAGGAGCCTGCTGTTAGTGTTTCTGAGCCAGCCCCTACAGAGACCAGAGAGCCAGAGACCCCAGAGCTCCCGGTGTCTGAGGAGAACCCATCAGAGCCTGCAGCTCCAGGCACTTACCGCTGCCTATTATGTAGCCGTGAGTTTGTCAAGGCTTTGCAGCTGACCCGGCACCAGCGTTTTGTGCATCGACTGGAACGGCGTCACAAATGCAGCATTTGTGGCAAGATGTTCAAGAAGAAGTCTCATGTGCGGAACCATCTGCGCACACACACCGGGGAACGGCCCTTCCCCTGCCCTGACTGCTCCAAGCCCTTCAACTCACCTGCCAACCTGGCCCGCCACCGGCTCACACACACGGGGGAACGACCCTACCGGTGCGGGGACTGTGGCAAGGCTTTCACTCAGAGCTCCACTCTGAGACAGCATCGCCTGGTGCACGCCCAGCATTTCCCCTACCGCTGCCAGGAGTGTGGACTGCGTTTTCATCGCCCATATCGCCTGCTCATGCACCGCTACCACCACACAGGCGAGTACCCCTACAAGTGTCGGGAGTGTCCCCGCTCCTTCTTGCTGCGCCGGCTGCTAGAGGTACACCAGCTTGTGGTCCACGCTGGGCGCCAGCCCCACCACTGCCCATCCTGTGGGGCTGCCTTCCCCTCCTCGCTGCGGCTTTATGAGCATCGGTGTGCAGCTGCTGCTGCCCAGGCTCCACGGCGCTTTGAGTGTGGGACCTGTGGCAAGAAAGTAGGCTCTGCTGCTCGTCTGCAGGCCCATGAAGCTGCCCATGCTGCTGCTGGTCCTGGAGAAGTCTTGGCTAAGGAACCTCCAGCTCCCAGGGCCTCAAGGGCAACTCGCACACCCGTCACTCCATCCCCAACAGCCCTTGGTGGTGCAACCTCTGCTGCTTCTGCAGCCCCTGCCCGGCGGCGTGGCCTGGAATGCAGTGAATGCAAGAAGCTGTTCAGCACTGAGACATCACTGCAGGTGCACCGACGGATCCACACAGGAGAGCGGCCGTACCCATGTCCAGACTGTGGCAAGGCCTTCCGCCAGAGTACCCATCTGAAAGACCACCGGCGCTTACACACAGGTGAGCGGCCCTTTGCCTGTGAAGTGTGTGGCAAGGCCTTTGCCATCTCCATGCGCCTGGCAGAACATCGCCGCATTCACACGGGTGAACGGCCCTACTCCTGCCCCGACTGTGGCAAGAGCTACCGCTCCTTCTCCAACCTCTGGAAGCACCGCAAGACTCACCAGCAGCAGCACCAGGCGGCAGTGCGGCAGCAACTGGCAGAGGCGGAGGCCGCTGTGGGTCTGGCTGTGATGGAAACTGCGGTGGAGGCTCTGCCCCTCGTGGAGGCCATTGAGATCTACCCTTTAGCCGAGGCTGAAGGGGTCCAGATCAGCAGCTGACTGGTCCCCATTTTCCTCTTCAGCATCACCAAGTCCTGATGCTGCAGGTCTCCAACAGCCCCTTAAAACCTGTGTACATATTGTACCCCACTCTCCTCTCCACCACCATATAAGTTCTGTAACTAAATTTATTCTCTTCTCTAAGGGGGTTGCTCTGGGGTCCTTGGTACATAAAGGACCCCTCCCCCTCTCCCCACCTTCCACTTGTTTGGTGGTCTCCAAATGAAGCAGTCAATAAAGACTGAGTTGGACATTTTTGTGCTTTTATCAGGCCGAGTATGTAGGGTGGGTTTGGGGGATCGTGAGACCAGGCACTAGCTGACTTCCCCTGGCCGCATCCCTAGCACCCCAATAGAACTTGACAGATAGAGTTGGTACAGTTTGCTGGATTGAAAAAGCAGCCAGAGTTCATGGCATGGTTCTTTGAAACAGACCTCTTGTGTCAGATGAAGGCAGCATGTCTTGCCACTAGAGGGCCCCTCAGCCTATGGAAAATCTTAAAGCAATTTGGGTGTTGAAGGAGCCGGTGTTACTGGAACATCGAGAGAAACATTGGTGCGCTTCTCAGCCCTGGCCCTCCATTTCCTGCCTGATGTGATTGCATCCCACAAAGACATCTGGATTTCTCAAACTAGATCCCTGAAGGCAGGCAGACTTGGGTCAGGTGTGATCAGCAACAGTGACCGAGGGGAGCGCCTGGGGCTTTACCCTGTAACAGTTGGAAGTTCTGAGTAATGGGTTCTAGAGTAGGAAGTGCCTTGGCTCACCATGCCAAGTTGCGGCTAAGCCAATGGACATTTATTGTAGGAAGAAAGTGATGGAATGCCTGGTCAGTGTCACCCTTCCATACACACCCCAAGAATGCAGATTCGCTTGGGTCTCCCACATGCTGGGCAAGCTCACTACCACTAAGCTATATCCTCATCTCTCTCATTTTGAGACCAGGTTTTGCTTTTTGCCCAGTTGGCCTTTGGGATCACTCTATATATTCTAGGCAGGCTCTGAGTTTGGTGGCCCTCCTGCTTCAGCTTTTTGGGTAGCTGGGGCTACAAGCCTGTTCTCTTGGGTTAGTTTGATTTAACCCTGTGGAGATCATGTTTTACACAGGAGGCCTCTGGAATGACTTGCTGACAGACAGTTCAACCCAGGGCAGAGCTTGAATTTAAATCTAGTTTCATTTGGTTTAAGCATCCATATTCTTTTTTAAAAAATTTATTTTTTTTTAAAGATTCTGTCTACATGTATGCCTGCATGCCAGAAAAGGGTACCAGGTCTCATGGATGGCTGTGAGCCACCATATGGTTGCTGGGAATTGAACTCAGGACCTCTGGAAGAACAGCCAGTGTTCTTAACTTCTGAGCCATCTCTCCAGCCCCTAAGCATCCATATTCTGTTCTGTCTGGCCCATGACCTTGCCTAGCAAGAAAGTGGAAGCGACTAGATAAGGATTATTCCAGTCCCTTCTGTTAGAAAGAATCCCTCTTCTTAGAAGGACACTACTTGGAACTGGGCAGGGGGACAGGACCTTAGACCTGCCCACTGAGCATACCTGTCACTGTGGCTTGATCTGTTGCTCAGATGGAAGAAGACCTGCCTCCTGCTTTTTATTTTTATGCCACTGTCCTTAATTATAATAATTAATTATAATAATTTAGAAAAGAAAACACTGGTTACAACCTGGCAAGAGGGCCCATTTGCCACACAAACCTTGTAACCTTTGATTCCCAGAGCTCATGATGAAACCAGCTCCCATAGGTTGCCCTTTGACCTCTACCCACCAGCTCCCACAGGTTGCCCTTCAACCTCTACCTGTGCACCACGGCCTGCATGCACTTGTAGTCACACAAAAACAAATGGTAAAAGCACCTGTTGGATATCTCTATCAGTTACTTTAAACATGCAGTTGGTTTTCCACTAGGGTTTCTCAATCATAGATACCATCTTCAGTGCCTGCCTACCCTGCAGGAAAGACCTAAGCCACTAACCCAAGTATCAGGTCCTATTCCCCAGGAACCAACCTCCTCCTTGGAAGATCTGTACTGTTTGTACAAGCTATCTCAAGTAAATGGCTCAGCAGTCAGATCCTTTGTCCTTGTGAACCAGATGCAAAACTGAAACAAAAAGGGATAGGAATGGAGGAAAAGCATGATGCTGGTTGGCCACAGTATTAAGGTGTTTTCAACAGTCATTAGCCCCTTGACAGTGGAGTGACCCTCCTTCATGGAGCTCCCACTCCCACAAAAAAGTCAGGCAGTGGTGGCACAAGCCTTTAGTCCCAGCACTTGGGAGGCAGAGGCTGGTGGATCTGAGTTGTGTAGCCAAGGCTACACAGAGAAATCCTGTCTTGAAAAACAAAAACAAAACAAAAAAAAAAAACTGTCTAGAAAGGTGTTCCAGAGGACCCACGTTGGATAGCTCTCAACTGCCTGTAACTCCAGCTCCAGGAGATGAGATGTCCTCTTCTTACATATGGGCATCCTCACACGTCATACACGGGTACATGTATACATAAAAAGACGGAGTTGATCAACCCCCTGAGAGTTTTGATGACTTTTGAGCCTTAGTCCTAAAGAAAGATAATACAGATTTTCCCAAATCAGTGGATGTTACATGTCCCCTTTCTAAGATGTGCATCCAGCCAGCACACCCAAGGTGTAATCCAGGAACCTGCACTGGGCAAGTAATGAAAGTGACCTCAGGCTCTTCTAAGAAAGGCTTTCCTTGCCTAACTCCCTTTGTAAGAGAGGATTATTCTTGTGTATGGCCCAGGCTCCTTGCCTCAACCTCAGCGTGCCAGAATTGCCAGTCTCCGCCACCACACCCAGCTGCATTGCCTGCTTTATTTAGAATTTGCAGGAGCAGTAGCCAAGGGAACATAGCAGTGCCCACTAGTAGCTTATAAAACTTGACAAGAGAGGCCAGCTAACTAGGCAGGGCATGCCCAAGAGCCTGGACGTTATTACGCTCCAGGTAGATGCTTAGTGAAGGCTTCAGGACTGCTCTCCAGTGTGTGAGTCATGGAACATCTATGGTTCTGACTGCAGCCCCTCAAAGGCCAGCAAAAATCTTCCTCAGCCAACTGTATTGACTTAAGAGGGAAAAGTGCTTTAAAAAAAAGAACAGAGATGGGGGCTGGAGAGATGGCTTAGAGCTTAAGAGCACTGGCTGCTCTTCCAGAGGTCCTGAGTTCAATTCCCAGCAACCACATGATAGCTCACAACCATCTGTAATGAGATCTGGCATCATCTCCTGGCAAGTATATAATTCTATAATTTTAAAAAAATAATGGAGATAGAACCCATGGCCTGGCACGTAGCTCATGTCTCCAATCTTAAGCCTTTCCTATTGACTTGCCTGGATCTCAGCACCTGTGTCCCAGACAGGACGCAACAAGGACAAAGGAAGGCCAGTGGCTCTGATGAGACCAGTTCTGATTTTCAGTGGTAGCATCTGGGAGTCACCCCAGCCCTGACCTGGGAAGTTGCTTCGGCAAATGACTAGTTCGAGACCGCAGGATACGTTGTTATTCAATCTGACTTCAAAGTCAATGTGTGTGTGGGTGTGTGCGTGTGCATGGCTGGGGGGGGGTTGAAACCTTGTACTAGTGATTTACCACTGAGCCACATCCTCAGTCCCCTCCCCCTTTTCAGCCAGGGTCTTACTGTGTAGCTCAGATTGCTTCAAACTCTCAATCTTCCAGCCTCATGTATTATTCTCATTTTTAGACAAGATCTTATGTAGCCCAGGTTGGTCACTTAAGTATACAAAACTGATCCTGACCGCAGTCTCTGCCTCCTGTGTGCTAGGATTAGTGGTCTATGTTCATATTTGTATGTACATGTGGAAGCTTGAGGGCAAGCTTACTTCCTGTCCTCAGAAACGCTGTCCACCTCCTTTGAGACAGGATCTCTTCCTGACCTGGAGTTGACCAATTATGCTAGACTGGCTGGCCACCCCATTCACAGGGCTCCACCTCTCCCTGTCTTCCTAGTGCTGGGATTCCAAGGGTGGCGGCATTTTTACATGCATCTGGGGCTCCAATCCAGATCCCTGTGCTTGCAAGACAAGCACTGAAGATTGAACTCTTATTATTAACTTTAATTAATTTTGGTTTTTCAAGACAGAGTTTCTCTATACAGACCAGTATCTGTATAGAGTCCTCCAACTCAGAGATCTGCCTGCCTTTGTCTCCTGAGTGCTGGAATTAAAGGTGTGCGCCACCACTGCCCCAGCCTATCAACTCTTATTTTAAAGGTCTTTTTTGTTCTTTGGGGAGGCACCCAGGGAAGGAGGTGGGCAATATTGGCTGATTTCTTGGCTTCTTCGTGGTTCTTACTGAAGACAGTTTTATAGAGAGCTGTATATCCTCAGCATTATTTACTTATTTATTTAGACTGGGTCTCGCTGTATGGACCTGATTGGCCTGAAACTCAATGTATAAGAGACTGGCCTCAAACTCAGAGATCTGCCAGTCTCTTCCTCCTGGCTGCTGGGATTAAAGGCATCCACCACCATGCCCAGCTCTTAATAATTTAACCATTCCATTCAGTTCTGCAACTTCATGCGGTAGGCATTGTCCTGTCTACCACGGAAGCCCATGCGGTAGGCATTGTCCTACGACTGAGAACCACTGAAGCCCGTGAGGTATGTACTGCCCTGTTCTATAGAACCACTGAAGCTCATGTCTATTGAAAAATGGCGGAACTGAGATTTTTTAATTTGAATTCTTCCTAAATCCCTCAAATTTTCTGAATGTTGAAAAAACATTCAGGTCTTTTAACCATTGTGTGTGTGGTGGAGGATAGATAGATGTTTCCTTGTTTGCCTTTTGGCCTTGCACTTACTATGTAACTCAAACCAGCCCCGGTACCAGGCAGTGATCCTCCTGCTTCAGCCTGCACAGCCTGGGACTGCAGAGCCAGGCCACCACCCTTTCCCCTCCGCAGTTCACATTCCCAACCCACACCCTGACCTGGCTTACTATTCCCCGGAAACAGAAGGCCAAGAGACACCAGACATCATTTCTCTCTGTACAATTTTTAATTTTTTATTTTTTGATGTTTGTTGTTCAGATGAATGACACAAGTTACAAAAACGGGGCCTTTAAAAGAAGCACATTGTACAATGAACAAGCAGATTGAAGTTAAAAACACTGAAACACTAACCCGCTACCACAAGAAGAGACAGGGAAGGGATCTGAGGGAGGAAAGGGGCTGCCAACACGGGTGGGTCAGACAACCAAAAGGGGAGCGACCTTGATGGGCCTGGTGGGTCTCCAGGGCCCACTTCCTGGCCCACTACTTACCAAGGCTCCCCACTCCTGTCTCCTCCACCTGGACATTCAAGTGAGTAGGTGAGGGACAGCCACACCCAAAAAGGTGGAGCCAGTCAGATCTTTACTAGGCAAAGTGGTCACTGCCCTAGTGTATGGCCTTGGCAGGTGACTGATGGCAGTCAGGGGCCAGAGGAGGTGACCAAAGACTAGGCCTCCTCTTCAGCCCCAAAGATGTCTGCCCTTCTGCCCCTACTCCCCAGCTATAATCCAAAGGCCCTCTGTTCAGAAGCCCCTGTCACCCTGCAATTACATAAATAAATAAATATTGAGCCCCTGGGCTTAGAGGACAGTTTGGGGGAAGGGCAGCAGGGCTAGAGGAAAGGGGGGGCAGGGGAATAGGGGATCACAGACAAAGTAAGTAGTCGTCTCCGTCCCAGCAACACTTTTCTGGATTTTTTTTCTTTGCTCCTTTTTGCTTGTTTAGGAAGGAGCCAACACCAAGGACAAATACTTAAAAATATACATTATTTTTTCTTTTTTTCTCGAAGCCTTTGTCATCGTCGTCTTGCTTTGGAGACTGCTGAGGTCAAAGTTTAAACCGCACAAAAGAACCACGGCTTGAAGTTTTTGTGGGATTTTTGTTTTTGTTTTCTTTTTTTTTTATTGTTTTTTATTTGTTTGTTTTTGGGTTTTTGTTTTTTTATTTTTTATTTTTTTATTTTTTTTTTTTTTTTTTTTTTTCTTTTTTAAATGGTTAAATCTTTGGTTTGTTTCTTTTTTTCTCTTGGAGGCCTTTATCTCTCGCACTTGCCTTTCCCACTCAGAGACAGGTGGGGGCCATGTGTCTCAATCTTGCTCATTAGTCTCTCTCACCCTGGGTGAGATGGAGAGAGAGGCACCCTGGGAATGAGCTGAAGGAGAAAAACTAGTCAGGTCAAGAGGTCATTCCCCTGACTTGACTAGTTCCTGGCTGGAGCTCCCAAGGTGAGGGCTTGGAGACTCTCTTGGTCTTCTGGGAAGATGCATAAGACCCCAGTTTCTAAAGGGGCTTGGGAACCCCATTCATCCATCCATCCCTCAACCACCCCTAAACATACATCCAGCCCCTTCCTCCCACTTCTGTCCCTACCCTGTCCCTCCAGAGGGGAACAGAGAGGCGGTTTCGTTACTGGCATTATTTATTTATTTATTTTTGGCACAAATGGTCCACCGTTGGGGCAGACCAGTCTCTGCTCCTCCCTTAAGGGAAGTCAGGGCTGGGAGAAGGGAAAGTCAGAACACTGCCTTCACCCCAGTCCACTCAGCTCTCCCTCAGCCCAGGCCCCTGGTCCACCATCTGACATCTAAGCTGGTGCAGGGTCTCCCTCCCCCACCCCATATAAAGCGCCCTAGCCCTCCAATCTCTCTCACACACAGACACACGGACACAGGCTCTGTACAGACCACAAAATAAAAACGATGAGATAGTTTTGTTTCCCGGAGTCGAGGCTGGGGTGACGGAGTGGAAGGGGCAGGTGGGGGTAGGAGGGACTAGAAGTCCCCCCACCTTTCCAAACCTAGCTCCTCCAAGCCCCCAGCCCCTTGCCCTGGCTGGCCCCCAGCCAACGATATTTGGTTTCTTTTTTTTTTTTTTTAACATTAAAGTTCTGAGGTATTTGGTGCCTTATCTAGAGTCCTCGGAGGAAGGGTCCCGGGGAGGGGGGGGGAGACCTGGGGCTCACCTGCCCCTCCCTCCCTCCCACCCTCCCACTCCCTTCCCAATATTTGGTTTCACAGCTGTAGTTAAAGCTTGGGATTTGGTTATTTTTCCCCCTCCCAGGATTTTTTTCCTTCTTTTTCATTTCCCAGTGTGGGGGTTGGATGGGGAGGGTCCCCACCACCCCCAGTGCATGGGGGTCCCCTCCACCAATGTCAGGGCATCTGCCCGTCCCTGCCCCCTGCTTCCTGCTCTCTTTCTGCCCTACTCCTCCACACTGGAGTAGGGAGAGGTCCCAGGTAGGGACTTGATAGGGAGGAAGCAGGATGAATTGGGTGGTGAATCCTGGATTTTTCTCTTTTTTTTTCTTTTTTCTTTTTCTTTTTGGTCTAGAATCATAGTTTATGTTTGAGTCATCTCCACCATGCCTTCCATGCTGCCTGTCTTCTCAGAGGGTTTTTTGGGGGTTGGTTTGGTTGGTTGTAACTCCTTCATTCTGCTTTGTTCAAATGTCTTCCTATCCGGTCAGGAGCCCTTGGCCCCTTCTCCAGCTGTGGGCTGGGGTCCAGGCCCTCTTGCTAGCCGCTTCTCAGGAACGTATAATGGACAAACTCAGAGGTAGGGTGAGGGCAGGGAGTTGGTTCAGCAGAGTTGCTTACATTCCAGCAAGGATAGGTGGACGAGGTGCCAACCCCATTGGTGCCTGGTTGGGGGCAACCACTCCACCAGGGTTGGGTAAGGCACCCAAGGCCCCGAGTTAGTCTGGAGTCTCTGCTACCTCTGGAACCCGGCCCGACAGTTTTGCTTCTGGGTGGGAGAAGGGAGACCAGAAGAAAAGAGAACGCTGAGACCTAGGGGCTCTGGCTGCCTCTCCTCAGAGTGTCTAGGATGGAATGGGAGCCCTGGGCCATTACCCAGCTCTTCCCTCCCTCTGCTCCTGCCCAGCCAGGGGCAGGGGTCACTCTGATTTCAATGGCTCGCGTCCTTCACAGCAACTTTGGTTTGAGGAGAGATACAGAAAGAAGGCTATCAAGAGATGTGACGGAAGAATGATGAAGAGGGGAGAGGAAGGAGGGAGAGAAAGTGAGGAAGGGGAAGGAGAGAGAGAGAGAGAGAGAGAGAGAGAGAGAGAGAGAGAACAGAAACAGAGACCAAGAGGGAATCAAACTACCCAACAGTTGGTTTTCCTTCACCCATTCTTTTTGCTTTCCTTTTTTTTTCTTTTAAAGCTTTTTCAGTTGATTGGGGGGAGGCAGGGAGGGAGCTTGGGGCTCTTCACCCTCGTCCCTGACACCCTCTCTCAGCCCCACCCACCCGCTTCTGTCCACCCTGGCTGAGGGACAGGCCCGCCCCCCAGTTCCTCCCCCTCCAGCTTTCCGAAGACGACGTCCATGAGGTATTTGTGAAGAGAAAGAAGCATCCATCGTTCCGTCCGCCTTGGGGACCAAAGGCCTGGACCACTGTGCAGGGCTCGGCTCCACCTTGCGGCTCCTTCTTGTCTTGAAGAGTCCTAGTCTTCTTTCCCATATATATATATATCTATATATATCTATAAATTCTTTTTTCTAGTTTTAATTTATTGTTTGTTTGGTTTTCTGTTTTTGTTTTTTGTTGTTTTGTTCTTTTTTTTGGTTCAAAACTTTGTTGACCTCCACGATAGAAGGAGGACAAGGTGGCTCCCAGCAGCATCTCCTCTGTCCACTGTTGAGATATGTCCAGGAATAGGCAAATACAAGGTCCAGCCAAGACTCGTGGAGGTCTCATGGGAGTGGTGGCCACCACAGTGCCCTCTTGCATGGGGAACCACAGGACATGGCAATGTCACCACCATGTGGACCCTGGTGGAGATGCCATCCGGAGGAGCCCACAACTGGGGTGTGTGCGTGTGTGCATTGGGGGAGGGAAGGGAGAGGTATCTGCCAGTGTCAGAAAGGGCATAGGGTGGGCGGAGTGAGGTGAGTTGATCTTTTTGGTTTCTGGTTAATGTTAAAGAACGTGAAGGATTCCACGGATAGGCACTGGAATATGATTTTTTTTTTTTTTTCAGGGAAACTGACAGACAAGATGGAAAGAAAGACAACTTGGATGCTCTCACCTCATCACCCTTTGTTTGAAACAGCCACCTTCCCAATCAGGGGAGGAGGAAGACTCCAGACAGAAAGGGTGATGGAGCTGAGGAGGGGCTTTGGAGAGCTGGAACTTGGCAAAAAAAATAAAATTAAATTAAAAAAATTTTAAAAAGGCCTAGCTCACCCTTTAAAGGGAGAGGAGAGGTACAGGGAACAAAAAGCCAATACCCAGGCCTTCCTCTGAACTCTCCCCAGGCTGGGGGTTGGGAGGATTAAAGCAAGACCCCCTGCCCTGTCAGGGAGAGCTGGGGGGCAGGGGAACACACGGAAGGGACACATTCTGTTGAGCACAACGCTAAAAATTCTGTACATCCTTTGGGTGAAGCTACTGAATATTTGGTGTAAGGTTGTTCGGTCCTTCCTCTTGCCTTCTGGAAAAGACCATTTGGCAGGTGGCTCTGGGCCCTGGGCCTCCTGCCCCAGGCAATGCCCTGTCTCCATTGGCCCAGGGCTGAGGCTGGGCCAGCAAGCCAGCACATTCTCTAGTTCCTTCTTTGCCCACCCCCAGCGGGGGGTAAGGTTAGGAGTTGTTAGCCCCACAGCCAGGGCTCAGCGGCATGAGGTCCGACCTGCTGGAGGCTGCTCCGCTCCTGGCTGAGGGTTCTTATTTGGTGTCATAGCAGTGAGCACTCCAAGATCTGGCTCCAACTGGTTTTTGGTTTGTTTGATTGGGGGGGGGGTTGTTTGGTTGGTCTGGGGACATTTTTGTTCGTTTATTTTTCATCTCTGGTTCCTTTAGGGCAGCTGGTTTCTGTTGTGAATATTTTTGGTTTTCTCTTTTGTTGGTTTCTTTTTCTTTTCTCTCTTAATTTTTTTGGTTGATTTTTGGTATTTCCTCCTTTGTCACTCCTGCTCCCAGGATCCACTGTATCCCCCACCAGCCTCCTCGTCCCTTCTTGGGTGGGGGACCAATGTCGGGGGAGAGAGAGGAGTAGGAGAGGAGGCATGGCAGGCTCTCACTCAGCCTTGGACCCTGCCTCGGGTCCCCCTGGGCCTCCAGGGGTCTGTGCTGCCACTTCACTGCAAGTGGAGGATGATGAGGACGAAGAAGACGAGGAGAGCCCAGGAGACTTGCTGGAGATGGAGGCTGCCACGGCTGCAGCCGCTGCTGAGACCAGGCCCACGCCTGGCGGGGCACTGAGCAGGGGTAGCCCAGCGTGATTCAAGAAGAGAGGCGAGGTCACTAGGCCGGGGCTCCCTGGGGCCGCACCGGCTGCCCCCAGCACCAGGTTCCCGCTGCCATCAAGGCTGGTAAGGGGCAGGGTTCCACCAGAGGCCAGGGCTGGTGAGGAGAGAAGAGGCTGAGCTGGAGGTAAACCAGGCCATGGAGACCTTCGCCTCCTTGTGCCCTTCCTGAGTGCCCCCGGCTCCCCATCTGAACCACTGACTCCCATCAATCAGCAGCCCTCACACCTTCCCCAAACACAGACGGGGATGAAAAGGCGAGCAATGCAGTGAGCAGGGCGGGATGACATGACTGGGGTAGCAATGAGGGGGCTCGAGGCCCAGTAGGGGCAGGACTGGTGGCAATGGGGTGACATGAGGCAGCACGCACCTTGGATAGTGGCCAAAGGGTTGTTGCTCATGAGGGCTGGACTCAGCCCAGAGCTCAACCCCACCATTGTGCTTCTGCAAGAGCAAAGCAGAGGCATTAGCGGGGAACCCAGGGCAGAATTGGGGTGCATCTCCCCACTCTGCAAGCAGCTGCGACCTCCCACCTGTAGTTGCGCACTTACCCCGTGCTGGGGTTCAGGCCCGACAAGCCGATAGCTGAGTGGCTGCCTTGAGGGCTTGGGTTTGTGCTGTTGGTGGTGGCCGGGGGTGGGGGAGTGACAGAGGGGATGGAATTGAGGGGGGGCGCGGCTACGCCCCCACCCCCACCCCCTCCTGCTGTCCGGCTGGGGTGGAGCGTCCCCACAGCTGAGGATAAGGTAGTAACTGTCAGAGAGAGACAGAAGGCAGTCTTTAGCTTTCTCTGGGCCCTTGTCGAGGAAGTCAGGGTAACCCCTATTGCACACCCAGAACCTCACCGCTCAGAACAGTACACTGTCCCAAACCCTCCCTCAGAGTCCTTATGCCCCCATCTCATGACAGTCACAATATTCGCTGGCACAGGCTGTCTGCAAACCATGCCCCCAAGCACCCTGACATTGACAAGAAATGGGTTCCCCGGAGACATGTTCGAACATGGCTCCCTCCAGGGACCAAAGATGAGTCCCGGGGACTTCTGTGCTGCTGGGAGCTCAGGAGTGGGCCACTGAGGACCAAACTGTTGGAGCCAGAACAGATCCCATGGTTAGTCCCAGCTGTGTCCCATGGTGAGCACCTCAACCTCTCTGACCTTCGGGTCCCTCATGGAAAATGGAAAAAAAAATGGGATCAATCTCATGAGCAGGGTGTGAGAATTTAGTCAGTTGATTATACTTTATAAAGAACCTGGACCAGTGAGTGCCAGTTTCTTCTTATTAGTTCATAACCCTCCACTTAACTATTTCTTAACCTGAGAGGAATAGTAGTGCTTGTTTTGTGTCATTAAAAAATTGCACAGGGGGCTAGAGAGATGGCTCAGAGGTTAGGAGCACTGGCTGCTCTTCCAGAGGTCCTGAGTTCAACTCCCAGTAACTGCATGGTGGCTCACAACCATCTTTAATGAGATCTGGTGCCCTCTCCTGCCATGCAGGCAGAACACTGTAAACATAATGAAATAAATAAATCTTTTAAAAAATTGTACAGGCTGGAGAAGTGGCTCTGCAGTCAAGAGCACTGGCTGTTCTTCGAAGGACTCAGGTTCCATTCCCAGCACCCACATGGCAGCTCACAGCTGTCAGTAACTCCAGTTCCTGGGGATCCAGAGCCTTCTTCTGGCATCTGTTGGACACCGTGTGCTCACAATGCACAAAAAGAACACACAAAATAAAAAAAAATTTAAAACCTTAAAAAAATAAGTAGTTGGGTAGTGGTGGCACATCTTTAATCCCAGCACTCAGGAGGCAGAGGCAGGTGGATCTTTGAGTTTGAGGCCAGCCTGGTTTACAGAATGAGTTCCAGGACAGCCAGGGCTACACAGAGAAACCCTGTCTCAAAAAACCAAAAGAGAAAAAAAAATCAGACTGATGATGGACCCCAGAGCCCTATGCATATTGATGAAGCTCCATCATTGAGCTTATACCAGTTTGTCCTACACTCTTTCTAATGTGTGTGTGTGTGCGTGCATGTGTGTGTACAGCTCTTGTGTGCACATTATACACCCATGATAATTATATAAAACCTGAAGCTCAGAGACTTGAAACAAGTTCCTGGACTCGCAGGGCATATACATGACAGACACCAGGGACAAAGTCTCAAATGTGTCCCCTTCCAGCAACCTTCACACTTTCTCATGGGGAGCCGTGAAGCTGACTAGGGGTTGCTTTGGTGGACAATATAAGGGACCTGCCCACTGTTCTGCCTGTCCCCCCACCACCCAAGACTCAGCCTTGAGGTTCATGGCTGCCCAGAGCCATTGCTAACCCTCAGACTGTGGCGCGTGCAGCGTCCCCCCAGACCCCCTCTCAGCCTGCCCCTAACCTGTTGTGCTCAGGCTGCTAGAAGCTTGGGACAGTGGTAAGGTCCCTGCGCCCCCTTGGGGTGTGACCTGGGGAGAGAGGAAAGAAAGTACGGTAAGACACTGTCGCAAGGGAGCCTCCCACGGCGTTCCCTGTGCACACGGCTCCAGTTGCCCCCACACAGAGTGGGGTAACGGGGCTCCAGGGGCAATGCTGCATTTAGATTCTGCCACTCATTTACCGTCATCCTCTCCCACATGTACCCCAGGTAATCCTGGGCCACAAGCAGAAGGCACAGTGTGACTCTCGGCTGAGAGAGTCCCCCATCTCTCCTCTGACACTATCCTGTCCAGCTACTGTCCCTGTGGAGCTGCGTGTGCCTGAACAGCTGCCCTGTCTGGCCCTGCTGTTGGCTCTCCCGCCTGTGTAAGAGTCCAGTAAGCCTGGATTACAAAGTAAATGGGAGAGGCGGGAGGATCAGGAGATCAGAGCCTCTCCCCCCCAAATGAAAGGGCTGATGTGTCCTGAGGCAGTCTCACCCTGCCTTCAGTCCTAGAAGCCCTAAGCGACCTCACCACATCTCTCCTCCACTCCAAACCTCTTACTAACCTGATGGAGATTCCTGGTAAAACGAAAGGCATCTGCCCCTACAGGAACTCCATTCCCAATCCCCTTCCCAGCAGCTTTCTCCACACTGCCTTGCTCTGGGATTTGGCACATCTTGGCATCTGTGTCTGTGTGCATGCTGGACCTGGCGGCAGGTGGCCTTTTTGGTGGTCCTTCTTCACATGGCTGGCTCACTTGCAAAGGGTCCCTCCTTCCTCCCCAGCCTGAGAGTTGAGGAACCCCTCAACTCTCTGGACATCAAAGTCCTTTTCACAAACAGAAATAAAGGGATGGAACAAAGGATGTCCCCAGTGTGTCTGGTTGTGGTGCTGCAGGTACCTCAGGGGTCTAATGATGGCCCTTCCTGTCTCTGTGGGTGGGAGCCCGTGTGGTCCTACCTGGTCACGTGACCAGTCCTATCCCTCCCTCATGATGATGTGTATGTGGGAGCCTGTACCCACCACATAAAACCACAGCTGGGGCCTGGGAAATAGTTTGGTAGGTAGAGTCACTTGCTGTCAAGCCGAATGACATGAGTTTGATCCCTGGAACCTTCATGATGCAAAGAGAGAACCGACTCCCAAGCGTCCTCAGATCACCACTCAGGTTGGGAGGCATGTTTTCCTGGAAACTAGGTTCCTTTGTGACTGTGATCTGTATGTGACATAGTGCCCCCAGAACCAGCTCCTCTGGTCACTCTTCTAAGTAAGTTGCTTCACCTAGATGCATACAGGTTTGAGCCCCGACCCCAGAGCCCCACACCTAGCCCTCCGGCCCCAGCTCTGGGTACCAGGTGAGGGCTGTAGCTGGTCGGCTTTCCCGGGCTGGGCAGCATGGGGGCGGCGCTGCAGGGGTTGATGCGTTTCTCCTTCTGGCGCCGGTTGCAGAACCAGACGCGGATCACTTCCTTCTCCATGTGCAGCTGCTCTGCGATCAGCAGGATCTCCTCTGAGGTAGGCTTCTGGTTCTACAGGCAGAGAGAGTTGTTGGTGGAGCGGGCTCCATCTACCTGATACCCTCCCCGGCCGCCAGGGGGCGAAGCTCACCGCTAGAAAACTCTTCTCTAAGGCGAAGCGGACATTCGTCTCGATGCTGGTTCTCTTCTTGCGTCTCCGCCCCGGCAGCCCGTCGAAACCCAGGCTGGGGCTGCTCAGCTGGTTGGGGCTGGGTAGGCTTGAGTCCACAGACATAGTTTCTGCGAAGACAGGAGACAAGGATGTGAGTAATCGCTTCCCACCCTGCTCCAGTCAATACCAATCCCCTGTGAGTCCCATTGGCGCCTCTGGCCAGGCTCACCTGCGTCATTGAGCCACTTCTCCAGGAGGGGCTTGAGTTTGCACATATTCTTGAAGCTCAGGTTAAGGGCCTCGAAACGAGAAATGGTCGTCTGGCTGAAGTCGTTGCCATAGAGCTTACCCATGGCCAGGCCCACATCACCCTGGTCCAGAGAGGAGGAGGTGGGGTTTTGGAAGTCAAGGCAGGGTCTCCTGGTCCAAGGCCAGATCCAAACACTCCATCAACTGATCACGACCCCTGCATCTTCGTCCTGTCACCCCCGCACACCCACCGCCCCATAAGATGGTCCCAGACCTGCGTGAAGCCCAGCTTGATGCGGCGTTGCTTGAAGGTGCGAGCGAATTGTTCCAGTTCCTCCAGGTCGCTAGGCTCCTCCGGGTGGGATGGCGGCTCCAAGCATTTTGGGGGCTGCGGGTGTGAGAGGTGCGGGTCGGGCAGCGTGGGGCGAGTCACAGCCTGGTGGGGTGGGCGGGTGGATGGGATGCAGGATGGAGGACCCAAATGTACCTAAGCAGTGGTTGTGTGCCTGCCCGCTTCAGAGTCCCCTCACCTGCCCAAGACACCCACACTAATCGCCAATCCTGTTAAATGCGTCGCTTTGTTATTCACCATGGTCCTCTCAATTACCAGAACTCTTGGCCTTCCCTAAGAGACCTGAACTCCTAGAAGGAGCAGCCAGTGTCTTTATGTGATGGCTCAATGGGTTCAAAGCCTAGAGGTGGGGGCAGTGGGTTCATCCTCCATCATCCTTCACCACTGACGTTTGGAGTAGCTCAGACTGAGTCTCACCCTTCCTTGTGCCTACATTCCCTTCCATAGAATGGACACCATCGCTATGATTCTGCCTGCCCACTGAATTGTTAGGGATTAAGGTTAGTAATTAGCAAGTTGTCCACCCCCCCCACACACACACACATAGAAGTCTGTGTGAAGTCTGTTTAGGCTGAGGATGCTGAAGAAGGGGAGGTGGTGCACGCGGAGGACGGGAGGCATATGGGATCTATCTTGAGCTCAGTTTCACTGTGCATTTAAAGCTGCTCTAAAAAAATAAAAAATAAAAGCCTGAGAGCACACGTACAGCAGCTCAGGAGAGCAAGACAGGAGGCTCTGAATTTTAAGGTCAGTTTGGGCTAAGTTCAATGCCAGCCAGAGCATCTCAGAAAGATCATCTCAAATTAAAATGTGAAAAGAGGGCTGCCTGGAGACTTAGTTCAGTGGTAGAGCCCCTGCCTAGAATCCCCAGTGAGGGGCTGGGGTGTGGCTCAGTGGTAGAGACCCTGTCTAGCATACTCAAAACCCTGGGTTGACTCTGTAATATTACCAAAATATAAATAAAATAAAACAAAGTCTTAAAAATGAATCGTTTGCAAAGAGAGGAAAAAGTAGAGCAATGAATAAGGAGGACAGTTGGAGGACGGACAAGATGGAACACCTTTCTCTGGCGTGACTCACTGACTTAAAAACGAGAGGTTGGAAGCCGGTGATTGGTACAGGGATGACTGTGCCAAGAATCTTTGATGTCCTAAAATTCTGGGGCGGGTATGTTTGGGAAATCACGGTGATGCGAGCCCCTGTTCAAAGCATCACTTTGTAACCAGACACATCAACAGTTTGGTAGCGGCAGAACTATCATCCAGGGAGGGGGGCTAAGGATGCCACCCCACGGCACGCAGGACAGCACTAGCAGCCAAATAAGTTCCGAGCCTACTGTCACAAGAATGCTTAGCCTTTCGGGGCATTTGGAATTTAGCAGCCAAGACCTGTGCTGACCTGTGAACTTTTCAATCTTTCTGAAAAGAGTTCACACATACATGTGCGTGCACGTGTATGCTTGTGTGCATGTGTGCGTGCAAGTGATTGAGAGTGTGTACACATGTGTGTGCACATATGTGTGTGTGGAGGGCTGAAGTCAACATCAGGCAGGTGTCTTTTCTCAATCACTTGCTACTTTTTTTCATTCTTTATTTTTTTTAATATTTATTTATTATGTATACAATATTCTGTCTGTCTGTATGCCTGCATGCCAGAAGAGGGCACCAGACCCCATTACAGATGGTTGTGAGCCACCATGTGGTTGCTGGGAATTGAACTCAGGACCTTTGGAAGAGCAGGCAATGCTCTTAACCTCTGAGCTATCTCTCCAGCCCCCTGTTTTTTCTTTTTGAGACAGGGTCTTTCAGTGAATCTGAAAGTTATTGATTTAGCTGGGCTGACCAAGGATCCACCTATCATCAACCTCCATGCCCTCAAGGATGAAATTACTCCCATGTTCAGCTTTTAGCCCCTCGGTCCTGAGGATTCCTTGAACTCAGGTCCTTGTACTTATGCAGTGAGTTTGCCAACTGAGCCATCTCCCCAGCCTCTGAGTTAAATATTACATCAGGTTTGCAAAGGCATCCATGTGCAGAAAGGCTTTGGAACCACCTTCTGGTTTGAGTCCCTTCATTGTATGAAGCACCCAGACATGAAGCCTGGTTTTCCCTGAGTTCCTTATACAGCAAGTGGACGGCAGAATAGGGCGGGGACTCAACTGCTCGAGGTTGTGTGGTGGGCCCATGAAGCAGAGTCTTTCAGAGCCTCCACCCAAGTCCCATCCACTCAGCCCTAGCTTACTCCCCTGCCAGAGGCTTGACAAACTCTGTGGGAAGTCTCACCTGTGTAGAAAGTCCAGCCCGGGGCTGGGAGGTCAGGAGAGCTCCCTGGGTTTGCTGAGGTAGCTGGAATAGATTTGGCGTCGGTAGCAGGCCTGGGGAGACAAGAACACAGGAGGTGAGTGGGTGAGGGGCAGGTGAAGGGCTACAGAGAGCACGAGGGAGGGCATCGCTGGGCTGAGATCTCACCTGGCTGACTCTGCTGGGCCTGTGGCAGCAGGAACTGAGCGGGCGGCTGGAGGTGGTGGCCGGGGACCAGCACCAGCTGTTGGAGCTGGAGGAGCTGCTGGATGTCCTGGCAGATGGACAGAAAAACAGACTGAATCCTGTCTTGATCCCCACTTCGGCAGCGTGTGAGCCTCCAATGGGGCTGAAGCAAGGAGTCGTGTAGCCTGGTACAACAGGCTGTGGTCTACCGGACTTGGAATGACACACTGGCTATGGGACACCTGGACGTCCCCTCCTCCAAGCTGCCCCGGGAGGGCTTGCTCTTTGCCTTCCCTTCCTGATAAAATATTTGCCTTGCCTTACATTCCCACAGAACAAATAGACTTGTTTAAAAATGTAAACCAGGTTAAGTCTTTTTTCCCTTTCTAAAATGCTCCCAAGGCATGTGGTATGATGTCTGGAATTATCTCTAACGTGCTCCAGCAAACAGCAGGTGTGTGCATTGGTAGGGATGCCTGGAGGAAAGCTTCAGCACTAATTTAGGTCGAGAAAAGAGCTCAGAATGTGAATCTATTTGGAGACAGGGTCTCTGCAGATGATCGAGTTAAAACAAGGCCATGAAAGTGGATTCCAGTGCATTATGGTTGATAGTGTCATTAAAAGGGGAAAATTCAGTCGGGCAGTATCAGCGCACGCCTTTAATCCCAACAGTCAGGAGGCAAAAGCGGGCAGATCTCTGGGAGTTCGAGTCTAGCCTGCTCTACAAAGTGAGTTCCAGGACAGTCAGGGCTACACATTGAGACCCTGTTTCAAAATACCAAACCAAAACAAAAGAAAACAAAAAAGGAAAATTCATGTCAGGAGTGGTACTGTCTGTTTATAGTTAAAAGTTTCATTTCAAGGGGTGCGGATCTGGGGAGATGACTTAGCGGTTAAGAGGACTTGCTGTTCTTCCAAAGGACCTGGGTTCAAATCCCATCTTTGACATCTGGCAGCTCACAACTGCCTGCAATTCCAGGTCTGGAGAAACTGACACCCTCTTCTGGCTTCCATGGGCAACGACATACATGTGACACGCACAGCCACACGTGTACATAAATGAAAATAACAAAAATTATATCCTTCTTTTTTTTGTTTGTTTTGGAGACAGGGTTTCTCTATGTAGCCCTGACTGTCCTGGAACCTGCTCTGTAGACCAGGCTGACCTCAAACTCGCAAAGATTCACCTGACTCTGCCTCCTAAGTGCTGGGATTAAAGGTGTGTGCCAATACTGCCCAGCTCAAAAATAAAATCTTATAAAAAGAAAAGGACTGAAAGTGTTAACTCAGTGGTAGAGCCCCTGCCTAGACTCCCCCCAGTGAGGGGCTGGGTGTGGCTCAGTGGTAGAGTCCCTGCCTAGAATTCCCCAGTGAGGGGTTGGGGGTATGGCTCAGTGGTAGAGCCCCTGCCTAGAATCTCTCAGTGAGGGGCTGGGGTGTGGCTCAGTGGTAGAGCCCCTGCCTAGAATTCCCCAGTGAGGGGTTGGGGGTGTGGCTCAGTGGTAGAGCCCCTGCCTAGAATCTCTCAGTGAGGGGCTGGGGTGTGGCTCAGTGGTAGAGCCCCTGCCTAGAATCCCCCAGTGAGGGGTTGGGGTGTGGCACAGTAGGAAACTTGCCTAATACATGTGAGACCTATGATTTAAATGTCCAGCACTGTTGTGACCAAACAAGCAAAAAGGGTGTGTTGAAAAGATGGCTCAGTGGGTACAAGTGTTTGCTGCCTGTCCTGACAACTTATCTCCAGACCAACGCCTGACCTCCACATGTACATCATGGCCCATTTGCAACCCCTTTCTCCACACACAGAATAAATGTTTTTAAGCGGGGAGAATTTTGATAGAGACACAAATCAAGCAGAGATGATGTAAACAGATGCAAGAAAGAAGACAGTCTACGAGCCAGAGAGAGAAGACTAGAGCCCCTGCCCACACCTCCAGGTTACGTTCCTCGCTTCCAGAACTGTGAGAGAACACATGTCTACTATGATGTCACCAGACTGTGGCTCTTTGTCACAGCAGCTCTAGGAACTAACACAAGCTGAGCGTGTGCCTGCCGTATGTCCCGACAGTTCCATCCAGCCCCAAGGCCCACCAGCAGTGGAACATGGGTAAATGACCCGATTCTGTGGACCAGCAACAACACGACTTTCATATGTGGTCATGGCATCCTATATCCTGTTTATATGCCATTTGCGTGTTAAAACTCCAGAGGCTTCCAGGTGCCCTCAACACATGTGTGCTTCGTTAGTGGGGACTCACTGAGCTGCGTGCTTGTGATCGGCATACTTTCCTGCATTTGTCTATGTTGGTAACCTATGGCATCCATTGGGACTGAGACTACACTACTCCCCCACCCCCATCCCAGATACCCTAGCCCTCTAAAAGTTCCCTGACTGTCTCCCTCCAGCCCCAGATCTGCTGAGGAGGAATGAGGCTTTTGTCTATTGATAGCAGAGCCTTCCAAGGCTGAGTCTAAATCTATAGTAAATGTTCACTGCTTCTCCTCCCCTCCCTGCCTCCTCTCCCCCTGAAGCTCTGCCCAGTCTGAAACTGTGTAGCTCAGGTGGCCTTGAAAGTTCAATGATCTCTCTTGGCTCGGCCTCCTGAGTGCGGGGATCCCAGTACGTGCCACCACACCTGGCTGACGTTTTTCTTACAGAAGCTCTCCCAACAGTACACCCTTCAGGGCCCACAAAGGGTACCCATCCTGTTCTCTACTGCCCTTCTTACAGGGCGGTGCATTTGCTAATATGTATTCTTCCTATGCTAGGCTGAGCCCAGCAGCCAGAGGTATGTCTTATTCAAACAAACAAACAAACAAAGCCAACAACTTAGCCATCCCCAGTCTGACTACTCAAGCTGAGACTGGGGTTCAGCCTTGATCCCCACCTTCCTTCCTCGCCCCTATCCATGCAGCCCAACCCCATCTCCCATCTCTCTCTCTCTGTCCCTTTTCCACTGCCGCCATCCTGGTTCCAGTGTCAGCACCATCTACCCCAAGGCACCTGTTTCCTCTGAACAACCAGAGCAGGTCTCTCTCCGAGTCAAGGCCTCACAGAGCTCGGCTTGCCTTGGTATTCCCTATGTAGCTGAGGATGGCCATGAACTTTTCATCCTCCTGTCACACACGTATGTGCATGTGGGTGTGTACACATCCTCCTGTTGTACATGTATGTGTGTGGGGGTATTCACGGGGAGAAGAAGGAGTCAGATCCCTCCCAGGTCACAAAACACCGGAGGCCCTTTGTAGCTTATTACACAAATATTGGGATCTGAACCACAGTCTTGTCAGGGAGTGCCTTTGGGCTGAGCCATCCTGATGGCCCCACTGTTATTAGCACATATTAATTACGTATGACAGTGGGTCTCATGACGGCATTTCCATACTGTACCTAATGTGTTTTAGACATATACCCTCTCCTGTCCCATCCCACTCCTGACCCCTTCCACTTACATGACCTTTTGGGGTATACATGTGACTTGCTGCAATTTTTTTTTTAAGATTTACTTATTTATTATGTGTACAGTATTCTCAGTATTCTGTCTGCATGTATGCCGCCAGGTCAGAAGAGGGCACCAGATTTCATTACAGATGGTTGTGAGCCACCACGTGGTTGCTGGGGATTGAACTCAGGACCTTTGGCAGAGCAGGCAGTGCTCTTAACGGCTGAGCCATCTCTCCAGCCCCTGCAATTTTTTTTTAAAAAAAAATTTATTTCCACAAAAGTTTTTTTTTGAAAATGCAAAACGCAGTGACAATTTTTTTTTAATTTATTAGAAGAGAGGTTTAGGGGCTGGAGAGATGGCTCAGTGGTTAAGAGCACTGGCTGCTCTTCCAGAGAACCCAGGTTTGGTTCCAGCACCCACATGGCTGCTCACACCTGTCTGTACCTCCAGTTCCAGATCTGACACCCTCTTCTCACCTCCACAGTCCCAAGGCACACATGCAGATTCACATAAAATAAATAAATCTATAAACATTTTTTAAAATTAAAAAGCCAGGGCCGGTGGTGGTAGCACATGCCTTTAATCCCACACTCAGGAGTCAGAGACAGGCAGATGTGAGTTCGAGGCCAACCTGATGTACAGAGAGAGTTCCAGGACAGCCAGGACAGAGAAACCCTGTCTCAAACAACAACAACAACACAAAAACAAACAAAACACACAAACAAAATTTTAAAAAAAGGCAGAGAACAAGCATCCACAGTCATCCCAGGAGGGAGCCATGAACTTGCGTGGGCTAACACCTCTGTTTCCTACCCTCTGGCTACAGCTGAGACGTTTCCTTCCCTGTGAACATGGTGAGCAGGCTATGATGCCGCCAGCAGCACAGAGACTTCCACCAAAGGACGCCTCCACTGTCTTTTATCTCCACATGTGGTAGAATCCAAGCTTTGCCACAGCCTCGCTCCCTCTAGGCCTTCCCTTGCAACTTTCCTGCCCTCTGACCCTAGACCGGCCACACCAACTCCTGGTCACTAGACGCAGAGAGGAACCTCTAGGCCTTTGCTATTCCTGCTGGGTCCATGCGTTCCACTTCATGCAAGTCTCTGTCAAGTCCCCTTCTGCAGAGTGGCCACCTGTTCCCTCATCTTCCTTTACCTGTCACTACATTCATGACACTACATGCTTTTCTGTCCTGCCAAAACTGCTTCCTGTCTGTCTCTGTCTCCAGTCTGTCTCTCCAGCTACGATGCACTGAATTATCCACTTTATCCTCACCCAGAGAGGCACTGCACATGGGGAGGTCCTCTGCTGAATGATGGTGTGACACAGAGAGAGATTCTAGTGTGTGGCCAGCAGGCTCAGGACTGGACACAGCCAGTAGAAGACCCATCTGTCCAGTTCAGAGAGGCCGCAGGGCTCTCTTTAACCACTTGGGGGTGTGCTACTCCAGCGTGAAATGGTGAAGTTAGAGCAAGCTGTGATGCTGGAGAAGGCCCTGGACAGCATAGTTCCTAAGTCAATTGCTTTGTTCTCTAACCAGCAGGGAGGGCTGGCATACCCTACTGAAGCAGAGAAGGCAAGAGAACAGCTTTTTCTGCTTTCGTTTTTTGTTTGCTTCCTTGCTTTTTTGAGATGTGTCTAA